GTTCCCGAATCCAACTGGCCACATCGGCTTACCGAAAGGGAGAGCTTCCCATTGGGGAGCCAACAGCTTTGGCAAGGTGCGCCAACTGACAGTGCCAAGGATGCCGTTTTTAGGAGCCACTAGGACGGTCTGGTAGACATTAGCCAAGGCTGGTCCGGCGTAAGCCTGCCTTAGCTCGCCGTGGCGTGTAAGCCAACAACAGCCATCTGGGTCCCAGGGGGCTATTCGCATCGCATCAGCACGCTGAGACCCATGTAGCAATGTTGCGAGCTTTGCGATGAGGGAGAAAATAGACTCGCAGGCTTGGACCGGTCTCACCGCTGATATCCTCTTCATCCTGAACTTGTTTGCATATAAACCCGCCCGAGTTCCCCCCTCAACATCATGCCTTTGCCTCATCATCAGTCCAATCTGGTTCACCTTCCTTCAACTCTTCAGCTTTGAAATCATTCTTTCCTTCCTTGTTCGTTTCCAGCTCATTTCTGAAACAACACGCCTCTCTTTGGTTCTCTACCGACCCTTTCAAAGCCCAACATTCAGTTATATCCAGTTTCTTGAATTCAATTCTTCAAACCCATCATCAAAATGGTTTCCGTGCGCCAATTTCTCTTCACCTTCGCGGCTAGCACCGCCGTCTTCGCCCTTCCCACTCCCCAGGAGGTGGATGTAAAGTTCAGCAATTTCCAATCTATTGGTCTCGCACTACCTGGTGATATCAAGTCGCCATCTAAGCAGGCTGGCGCCATGACCTACTATCTTCCAGGCCAGGTAAGTTAACAGATCCCCTTTCCTTCAATTCACCCAAAGCACACAGATCTAACACGTAATCTCATATAGGGTGTCGGTAACGGATTCGGCGCCTGTGGCACGCGTGTCGACTTCACCCAGCCCATCGTCGCCATCTCCGGCTTCGACTACGGCCACCCCGCCAGCGGCAACCCCAACGACGCCGACATCTGCGGCCACTGGATCAAGATCACAGGACGGGACTCCAAGAAGGTCGCCTGGGCCCAGGTTGTCGACAAGTGCCCCGAGGCTGAGTGCCCGCCTGGATTCATCGACGTGTCCGAGGTGGTTTTCAAGAACGTCACTGCCGATGGCACCACTACTGCCGGACGCATCCAGGTCGACTGGGAGTTTGTGGCTGGAAACGGTCTGCTTGAATGATTGCGTTATGACTAGCGAGCATTTTGGAGTTTTCTTCTTCTTCTTCTTCTTCTTCCTCTTCTCTTATTTTTTCTATTTTCTTTTTGGGCGGTTTTAGATTTATGATGTAAATGAATGAATAGATTTTTATGGCTTTACTTTTTCCTCCGTTTCATTGTTTGTTCCTCGCGTCCAAACTTTTCAAGACCGATATTTTAAACCTACTCGCGGGCATCGAGTAACTTGGAAACCTTGCTTTTTGTAACAATATGACAAAACTAAACTTAATGGACCATGCTCGGAAAGGGGCTGAATGCTTCCCATAAGCCACGGTTAGCTTGCTGCGTTGTTGCCTGAACGCATGAACGTGGCATCAATACCCAGCAAGCCGTCTGGGCATTCGCCACAAAGTCAAGTTACAAGCCTGCTGCTGATGCTTATATCTGACCCCGTAGCGAGTTGGGTCTTATTATTATGCCACATGATTCTGAAACCGAGGCAAAAGTCTAAGCCTCAGTGAACTAGAGAACGCGATCTTCCATGTCGGGTTTGGTCACCCGCCTCAATGGCTCAACCTCCTTGCGCCCCTTGGCCTGTCACGGCGATGTCCGTATTGCAATGCCGATTCAAAGTCTATGCCTCCTGTGCCCGGTCCCTTTCCACAACTAGCCCGCCTTTGCCAGTTTCCTCACGGAGCACTTCCTCCTCCTCGCGTTGGGCGTATTTCAATGGTCTCTGCGCCATCGTTGCATCTTTGTCGCCGCTGACGATGAGTGGTGGATTTTCTCGGTAATACGCGTCCATGTCCTCGAGTCGTCGGTAGCTTGTCTCTGGGTACAAGAAGTAGATTACGGGCAGGAAAAGGGCATTTGTGACTGTCCAGACGATCCAGAATTTCCAGGAGAGATTCTGGACTCCAATCGGAGTGATTTCCACGATGATGAAATTTGTGATCCTGTGATTAGTAGGTCTTGTTAGTCCAGTCCTGCGATTATCTACCCGCTCTCACATACCAATTCGTTCCTGTAGCAAATGCAGCTCCCTTGGTCCTCATAGGAAGGGAATTGATTTCAGTTGGGTAAAGCCAGGGGACGCCGAGCATTCCGAGGCCAAATGAGATGAAGAAAATGAAGAAGAAGGCGATCGAGGCTGAGGCGTAGGGCTCGCCATTCGTCTGACTCTCTGCAAGGCTAAGCAGGATGGTAATGATGAGGAAAGACAAGAACTGTCCCAGCGTCGACAGGAGCATCAATCCCCTGCGCCCCCACCTCTCGACGAGTGTGACAGCGATACATGAGAAGATCAGGTAGGTGACTGCATTGACGGCGGACAGCAGCCGGGCCATCCGCTCCGTGACACCGACGGACTGGATGAGGACCGTGGGGAAGTAGTATGACATGATGTTGATGCCTCCGAATTGCTGCATCAGCTGTGTGTTGGCGCCAAGCAGGAGGCGGCGCAGAGTTTTGGTGTCCCCGTTCCCCTTGTTGCGACGAAGGAAGATGTCCTTCCACTTCATGGAATGCTCACGCTCATAGTTGACACTAAACTGGATCTCGTGGACTTGCGCTTTCACGTATGCATCGTCGACTTCCTTGGCCTCTATGCAGCCGATGATCTCGGTGGCCTCGTCAGCACGGTCATGTGCGATAAGCCAACTTCAAGACCAATTGTTAGCCGAGGAATCTTTCGTGGTATTGAACATCAGGGCAACTTACCGTGGTGATTCTGGGAGCCAGGGCACAGTGGCGAAAAGCACAAATATGAAGACGAATTGAAAAGCAAGGGGGAAGCGCCAGGACACGGAGCTGTCCACGAACGACAGGCCGTAGTTGAGCCAGTTCACAAGGCAGAACCCAGCAATGTTCATCGCCATTTCGAGAATGACAAGCTTGCCTCTCCACTTGGCCTGCGCCGTCTCTGTCTGCCAGATGGGCGCAGTGGCCGTGTTGATGCCGTTTCCGATCCTGTGATACAGAGTAAGCATTTGATCTTGGTTCATAACCCCATGCCTGGCACAAACCCGAGGATAATTCGACCGGCGATCATCTGCGGAAGACTGTATGATGAGGCTTTAATCACGGTGCCAACGGCCATGATGGCAGTTCCGGCAAGGACCGCCTTCTTTCTCCCCAGGCGCTCGCCCACGGTGAAGGCGACGATTGCCCCGATGAAGCATCCGATGTCGTAGATCGCAGTGACAGTGGCGAGCGTGTTAGTTTTGGAAGGGCCAACCAGGTCGTGAGTTTCTAGAAAATCTTGGGTCACGACAACCCCGCCTATTGTCACATTGTCAATGATCCGTCTACTCGAGGTTTCATCAACTAGTCTACGGCTACTTACTGAAAACACCTTGATCGTAGCCAAAGAGCATCATGTCCGTTGCACAGGCTACCTGGAGAAGGCAGAAAATCAGTACTTGTCATCAGACCAGACGAAAAGTTAACGTACGGTGAGCCAAAAGGTGAGCCAGCCGCCCGTGAAGCCAAAATATGGCTTTTTGGTGGACTTAGTCATGGTGACTTGCGTTGAGTATCACGACTGATTTTCGAAGCAAATTGAGCGTTTGAGCGTTCGCCAAGGAATTGAATTGGATGCTTTATCTCCAAAAAGCCGGCGGCATCCTCATCATTAATATATGATGATCTCCCGATAGGTTACATTCATCCGGCTCATGCTACAGACCCACATGACACACAGGAAACATGTTACATGGCCGCTCTTGGCTAGCATAGAGGAGGATCATGAGCTCACCGCGAGAAGGAAAACTCGGCATCCCGCCAATATCAACGACGGCTGAGTCTAAGGCAGCAGCAAGTGGAGAAGAGGTGAGCGGGGTTTTCTGGCGAAAAGATATCTCCTGATGCAAGACGTCGCGTGTGCTTTCAGCCGGCCCAATGACAGTGGTTGCAGGCTGGGATTCCCCGGCTATTGTCCCATCATGTTGATCCCACCGCCTCCACACCGAAGTCTGAGAAAATGGACGATGGGGAGAAGCCCCGGATTCGTTCTGTGGGCCACTCGACCTTGCAGTGAGGTGAGGGAAATAACAGCCTAAGCTCTAAGCTGGGCATGGGGTTGGAATCAGCAGACATGTCAATGGTTAGTAAATGTCGTCTCATGTGGGCTCTTTCTGAATGGTCTGTAGACAAGGAGATTCCGACTTTGGCTCGTCTTGGCTCTGAAAGAGGTTAATTTTGGACTTCGTTTCCCCACTACGATGAGGGGAGGTGAAAAGATGGTAGGAAAAGTGCGAGTTCAAGTGAAGAGCTCATACGTTATCGAGATTCACAATATGTTGTCGCATGTCAGCAGGGCGAATACTAGAACGGGATGGGTTGGGATATTCATACTCAAATCTATCTTGACTCACGGCCATGATTGGATAACAATCATATTGAAATTTACGGAAAAGGAAATTGTTGTGTATTGGGCAAGCAATTAAGTGCCGGGATCGGGTAGAATTGTCCTCCCTCTGCCCGAAATAAATCCACCCTCCACCATGATCAAGGATAGCTATTCGCCTACCCACCGACACCCCCTGGAAAGTTATGCTTGAGCTTGGTACCGGGTTTTGTGTTCCCAAATGGAGAATATCTGAAGCCGTACGTATCTCTGACTTTAGAATCTCAAGGATTAGGTATTTGCCATGTCTGGCTGTTGGCTTGAATCGTGGGTAAGCATTCTGTATGGTTCATTAGAGTGACTACTTGTCTAAGCCTAGGCAATTTCTTTGCGATAGACATACATAGTTTTGGTTAGGGAAACAATGGTATTTCATTATTTGTTGTCTAGAAGCTCAATGGATGAGAGTAAAGGTTGCCAAAATCGTATACAGAGTATAAGTTCTACCTTTCCGACTCTTTTCCAGGATCAGCAAATAATCTAGGTTCTCCTAGCACCACCATCTCCTCGTGCCCCTGTGGAATGTCCTTCTCGAGCTTATCAATGTCATCCTCCGGATCGCCATCCATTTTCTCTGCAGGTCCGACGTAATAGCCCTCATGTACCACGCAGAACCGGTATCCGTTCTGGGGACCATATCGTTCTCGCTGGTAGACACAAAAGAAGATTGATTGTGTGGCTTTGCCTGGTTCGGTCTTCTGGTGAGCAGTTACGGCGTGGTTGGAAATGTACTGGCGAACAGCGCCGGGGTAATTTGGTATCTCATCGAACTCGTGCGTGTTGATGAAAGACCAAAACATGTGCCGAGGCAGAGGCGAGGCGTCAGAGAGCGTATGAGACTGCATATTGGTGGACTTTTGCAGCGAAAAGAAAATGAAACCAAAATGTGAAAGAGTACCCAGAGGATGTGATGAGTAGTGACAATAGGAAATCTTTCGACAGGGAAGCAAGGAGAGGTTATCGTCTCCCCTTATTTACCCACGAAGCACTCCCCGCTTTCGAAATTCTGCCTCACAGCAGCCCCGATTTTCTAAGGTATTTTTCATCAGTAACGAGAGAATCCGGAAAAGGAAGTAGATTAAAATCTTACGTAGCAGGTGGCTCGTCGGTTCTGAACACAGAGGTACGATTTGCCGTCCTTGTTCTTGCAATTATGGGCACTCAAGAAGCCCCTGCTGTTTGAGGGACTGCACTTGCCGTCGTACTCCTTCTTGAAGCGCTTGATCCTCCCTTGGTTGGAGCAGCGGATTGTTCCTCGAGTGACCAACTCATCAAAGTCGTCAGCGTTGTACTCAATGTCGACAACCTCGATGTCAGGGGGATCAATTCCCTCGGCGCTATCCACTGCAATATCGTTTTGCTCAGCGGCTCCGGGCAAAGCGAATGATGCGGTGGCACAAAAGAGGATGGTGGTCATAGTGAGCGAGAACTTCATGATGGGCAGCGTGTTTCTTTTATAGAATAGTGTTATCAAGTAGTTGTGTGGGTTGATGATCTTTTCGAATCTCAGTCTACCGTGGAACAAATCGGCATTTTATAACCGGAAGCCACTCACTAAGGATCGAATCTAATCATGGAAATCGGCGATATCAAGTGATTCCTCCGACTTTGTCGTTAGTTATTGTCATTCCTATCCTGCATTTGATCTTTTGTAGTCTAGGAAATAAACCCTCTCCAAGACATCTGATGCAGTCCAAATTGACCTATCCAAGAGGGAAAGTAAGCGGAACTTTTGTTTTATGGGGAGCAATTGTAAAGATCCTACAAGTAGATCCTAGTTGAGTCTGCGTCTCACTTGTCTCGTCACGAGGACCATTGACAGCCACCATTTCTGTGTTTCATCACCTGACCATGACTTTAAGGTAAAGTGTTGGCTGATGTTCGTTCTTCCTCTAAGTACTTATTGAAGGCGGGCATCTTTAATGAGCCATGCTAAGACACAGTTCTAGGCATCGGTTCATTACGGTCTTAGATGCTATTATGGGATGTTTGATCATCTGAGCATAGCTACGAGGATTCATGTTTTGCTGTCCATTCACATGGTTGCTCCTCGTATGTAACCGATCTATTTGAAATTTGAAGATTCGTTGTTGATAAGTTTCGCCATTGTACATCCAGTAAAAGTCACATGTGAAATAGTGTTTTTCCCTTACTTCAGCTTGACGGCAATTGTGTCATGGGAAACCAAGACAGAATAGTCGGAGAGGCTGGTGAGAGTGGATCAAAAGACTAAAAGACTAACCGTCTGTAAGATTTTGGCAGGTCAGAAGAGGCAGTTACCCGAAACAAAACCCCCTTTATCATGACTACGACATAATTACCCCAGCTGACACTCGCCGGCCTCGGATATATCCCTGAACATCTGTTTCAGTTAACCCGACCTTAATCGTACCGTTACTTGCTTTTTACCTAACAGTTCCTGCGAACACAGGAGGTGCTTGCTCTCTTAGTTCCAATTATGGTAAAATCGTTAACAGCTGTACTTAAATGGCTTTGACCGAACCGTGTAGTATTTGCGATAATTGTGAATAACGGCTTTCCCCGCGCAGCAGCAGTTTGTGCCGGTCATCATTCCAGCGAACCTCCTTAGAGAGCAAGACAAAAATCCGTTTGTCTCAACGACTATGCATATTCTTTGAAACACGCACACTCGTCTTCCCCGTTATCGTCTGTCTCCGTGACCATCTCTCATGGAGACTATGGAGAATCTGCCTGGGGCGAGTTCCGGTTGCCTGGGCATTCTTCCGTTGTCGGAACTGTAATGTAAAACATAAACGATAAGGTAGCACACCGACATTCACTTGGCCTGCTTGAGATTCCAGTGCGTTAAACCCTACCCCTTGTCATTGCCGATCAACTCATCTGAACAATCGTTTGGAGCACTATTGTCTACACCCAATATTTTTGATGCATTGACACCAAAGAAGCGTCTGATGGTATGAGGATTAGTCTTTTATGAGATTATGGCCTACCGTTTCTCTTGTTTTCTTCCTCTACTTGGCCGGATGCTTGGGCATGCCATCGGCACTTGTATCTCTGCTAGCGACTTTGAGTGCCGCTGTACAATACCACCATGGATACTTATTCCAGAGGGTTGTTGTGAAGTGAGAATCGAAAGCTATTTGACCATGACACACATCAGTTTTTCTAGCGGGTGAAAATTCTACTCACTGTTGTTCACGTCGCATGACTTCTATGGGGCTCGACTCCATTGATGTGGTAGGTGCTCGACAGAATATACTTGAGATGAAAAGGAGATAAGACCAGGATGAGACTATCTAGCATTGAACAGGAAAAAACATGAAGGGTGAATTGCTACGGAAGCATAACATGCCACGATGATCTACAAAATAGAACGACTTCAACAGATGCTTTTTGGGGATGTATTCCGTATGTCTCAATGAGGCATCGTTTTCATCGCGGGTTTCCATACACTTTTTGATATCTGATGCTCTGAATGATGTCGCCCTACTGTAAGTGTTTGTAGTCGAGCAAATTATTGCTATCTCTTCCAAACGGAAGAACTATGTGAAAATTCAACCCTACTGGAGAATTCAAATCCGGAGGGCAATTCTAGACACGAAATACTCTCAGCTCCAAGATGGGAAGCAACTAATTGATGATGCATCTACACCAACTACAAGGGAATTTCTCAAATAATTGTTCCGCCAATCCTCCATATAGAAGACGGCCAAGCTTACAACGGAGCACACGGAATTATGGTGATATACCCCATCCATACAGGAGAAGTTTCATGAACATGGTCATTGAGGTAGGGGTTGTAGATGGGCATGCCAGCGCCGAAAGGGTGAGCTCTCCGACCCCCTCTAAACTTAAGAGTCACTTGACACAATGGTGCTGATGGCGGTAGATCCTAGAATGAAATGCACCAATTGAAATCTCTAGGGTGTCAGTAAAGGTAATTGTATTCGAAAAGATATTACTTAACAGGAATAAACGGCCAAGGATATTCAAAGCTACATTATGATACACTGTAACACTCTCTAGGTGCGCCAAGGAAAGAAATTCTGCCTGCCGGGATAGCCGAATGACCTGATGTTAGTGGGAATGAGAAATGAACTTCTCGCGCATGAGAGGAAAAGAGTATGAAGGGATGTCACTGCTGTAGAGTTGGTTGCAGGAAAGAACAACTTCCGCCACCCCGTTTTCTCCTTACCCAGAGCAGGTAGGACAACTTGTGTTGTTTGGAAAATATTCATTTCTATACATTGACTAACAAGCTCTACAAGACCCCGGAGAAGGCCGAGGCAAGGGTAACCTATAGTACCTAGGTAAACAACATGATCTCCGCACCATATTGCCGTGGACCATGTATCAGAGGTTGTCGACATATTGCTCGGTGGGGCCATGCTACCTGGTGACGCGGCTTTCTGTTAGGATTCCGGAGAGAGCTGGAGGCTCTTGGCTTTGTTCCAGACTTCAGTGTAAGTTGGATACTACTTGGTCGAATGAGCCACCGCAATGCGACTCTGACATCCGGCTGCTCGGCATCCAGCTCTAAGCGAACATCATGCATGTCGTAGCTTTATTTTGGCCCGGCTGGGTACATTGACGCACCACTAACTACCAACTTACGCGTTCAAGTACCGTGCAATTGCCGGTCTCATTTCCCACACGGATGGCTTCCTTCCATGGTCCCATATATGGCAGCATACATCTTGTGTTGTCCAGCCCCGCCTCTTGAGACTCTAGATAGACCTTGTTCTGAAATTTTATGCGAATAAATGCCCCAATGAGATTAAGAGAAAGTTTCTCCATTGCACGAGGCCGCGTCAAGTTGTCCATTCAAAATATCCCGGGGTGAACCGGATGGGCAGGTGCGTGAGTAGAATGACAATGAGCGTGTGGTGCAACTGTTTCAGAGTGGACTTGATTCGATGTATATAAAGATGCCTCCCATTATCAGTTGCAATTGATTCAAAAGACACACAGTAAATCGAATCAGCAGTCCTATTGTGAACCTATACCGACTCCACTATGAAGCTTTCGAGTATCATTAACGTTGCCCTCCTGGGTTTGGCCTCGGCAAGCCCAACTCCTACTACCGAGGAGGAAATGAGCCCTGCTCATCTTGAGAAGCGCGCGTCAATCACTGACAGCTGTGATATTGGGTACGCCACTACCAATGGCGGGACCACTGGCGGCAAGGGCGGTTCAACCACGACTGTTTCTACTCTCGCCCAATTCACCGCTGCTGCTGAATCAAGTAGCACCCTTGTCATCTACGTCAAGGGCACTATTTCCGGCAGCTACCAGACCCGTGTTAAGTCCAATAAGAGCATTATTGGCGCCTCTGGGTCCAAGTTGGTTGGGGTCGGCTTGTACATCAAGAGCGTTTCTAACGTGATTGTGCGCAACCTGGCTATCTCTAAAGTCATTGCTGATAATGGTGATGCTATTGGGATCCAGGCCTCTACCAATGTCTGGGTTGATCACTGTGATCTCTCTTCAGACCTTGATAATGGCAAGGATTATTACGATGGCTTGTTGGATATTACACATGCTGCCGACTACATCACTGTGCCAAACACCTTCTTTCACGACCACTACAAGGCATCTCTGGTTGGCCATAGTGACAGTAATTCTGCCGAGGATACTGGCCACCTTCGTGTCACTTATGCTAATAATTACTGGTACAACGTCAATTCGCGCGCTCCGTCGATCCGGTTTGGCACCGGCCATATCTACAACCAGTATTACCTTGGAATTTTAAGCTCTGCCATTAACACCCGTATGGGGGCCCAAATCCGTGTCGAGTCGACCGTATTTGACAATTGCGCTACAAAGGCCATCGTTTCAGAGGACTCCGATTCGGTTGGCTACGCTACTACTGGTGATATTTCTTATGGAAGCAGCACCAACACCGCCCCCTTGGGCACTCTCGGCTCTAGCGGAATTCCATACTCTTACACTTTGTACGGCAAAGACAATGTGAAGAGCAAAGTGTACGGCACTGCCGGCCAGACTCTATCATTCTAAGGGATCCGGTCCAGGCAAACCGCTACGTGACATGCTACGGTCATGTCCGCGATTACCAGAGACCGAATCCCCTACTGCGAGCTCTACCTAGTCAATAACTTGAATAAGCAGTCTATCTTTCTCACAAACCCGGGTGGTACCATCAAAGCTAGCTTTAGTAGGATAAATATAGCATACTACCCCATTAAGCGCCTTTTTACCTTAGGTACCTAAGCTGCATCATCTTGAACTTCAACTAAAAGTATCCTGTATGCTAAGTGTGATTGGCTCTCGCGCTGATACTTGAAATTTGGTGACAGCTCCAATACTCATTTTTGTCTTTCACTAATACCCCAAACCCCTGTCAATTTTGTGATTGTATTTTGAACTCAGCTTTTTTTTATTCCCCAACTAGCTTTTCCTTCATATTCAAAGTCATATCCAACACGAAGGAGTCACAGATGTGCTCTGGATGCTGACATTTCAGTAACAATCCCCATGTTTGAAAAAGCCTTCAACGGTTGGCTTGCTATTGGTGTTTGACTTCAAGTCTAATAATACTTCACCGCTTTATATGCAAATTTAGCAAGACATCCGAGATTTAGTTGCAACATACCAGATATGATACGTGGAGACTACACAAGAACATCACACTGGTGGGAGGGATAGTGTCTCATCGATGAGGTGAGATTGAGCATGTTTCGGCCACAGACAACTTCGTGGCAAGTTGAGCATATTTAATGATCACACTGAGAGAATATGTAGCAAAAATATTGCTAATGTCCTCTGACTTTATATTTTCTAGTGCGTCTGCTTCTCACAAATTACACAAATTACTGTCTAGTCGCTATTAAATCCCAAGAGACTGCAGGATGGCCTTTCCAACACCAGCAGCGGAGGCAGGGTTTTGCCCGGTAATCACAAGCCCATCAGTGACGACCTTCTCACCCCAGGGTTCAGTCTTGACAAACTTGGCACCGGCGTTCACGAGTGCATCTTCCAGCAGGAACGGCATAGCGCTTGTCATTTGCATGGCATCCTCCTCTACATTCGTGAAACCAGTTACAGTCTTGCCCTTCACGAGATATTCACCGTCCGGGCCCTTGACGTTGGCAAATGCTGCAGGGCCGTGGCAGACGGCGGCGACAGGCTTCCCAGCGGCGACGAACTCCTGAACGAGCTTGATGGAGTCTGCGTCTGTGGCTAAATCGAACATAGGCCCATGGCCACCTGGATAGAATAGGCGGCGTATTCATCCGTGTTGCCAAGAAAATCCTTGACTGGAGCAGTGTTCTCCCATACAGCAGATTTGTTCTTATAGAAAGACATCGCAGCCTCATCATCCTTAGAGAATTCGAGGGAGGCAGGGTCGAGTGGAGCTACGCCGCCCTTTGGCGAGGCGACTACAATATCGGCCTTGGCAGCGAGGATATCATAGGGGTGAGAGAATTCGGGCTGAATCATGGAAAGATTAACAAACATGTTCAAGACATGGAGAGAAGTTATGAGCGAAGAGAAGCAATCATTGGGCAGAGTAGACATACCAGAAACCACCCACAGGGCTTGTTGATAGACTCGATCTTATCGACGCTGGTGAGAACGACTAGGATCTTGGGGGCCATTGCTGCGGTTTTGACAGAAACTTTTGAACAGATAGTCTTAGACGTGTGTTGGAGTGATTGTAGTGTGTTTGAAGTTGGTGGAAGTGGTTGTTTTCATTCCATTGAGTTGGATGAGAAGCTTAATATATACTTGCGATTGAAAGGTCTCAAGAAGCTTCACAATTTCCATCTTGTAGATATAGCCAATCGTATTACACCAATTGTTACGTTGTAACGGAGTTTTCTCTCTTGCGCAACAGCGGAATGGCGGAGATGGACTCGGAATACCGGAGAGCGAGAGTCTTACCACGGAACTGCCCGTAATTACGCGAGCAACAGGGACCCGGCTGTAGGAAAGTGCCGTACTAGGAAGGGTTTTCGGAATTAAGTTTTGTTCTAAAAAAATGGTCGCCCATATTCCGTATCTGGGAAAACTATGGTGTTGAAGCATGCTTAACAGCTTTGGTTCACCATGCTGTGCTGACATGATACCCCTGTGTACTCCTGGCGTCTTCATAAACGCAGGAAATTAATTTAAAACTTCTCTATGATGAATGAAACACAGTTGTTGAAAGAGCTTTCTTATCTTTTCATGAGAATGGCGGCTGAGATGGACATGCTGCTTAATGATGCTACGTCTTCTCAGTCTCAACCTAGTGGCTTCGTGCCAAATCGAAGATTTCCCGCATGAGATTCAAAATAGGGTGACTGAAATATTGATAAAAACTACATCAACTTGCCCCATATACTACAAAATGTCCAATAAGTCACACTGCTGCTCGTTTCTGCGCTACTATTGTAACCTTTCGCGGGTCAATGGGTAAACTTTGATTAATGAAGGAATTTGAATCATAGAAATCAAGTAGTGCGGTTATTTAGAACTTAAGAACCGACATTGAGTACTGAATATGTTATTAATATCAGGGTCCATGAATAAAGACCAAGCTGCCCAGAGCATAACAAACCGCCCTCTTTCCCCCTTCATCATTGCTTTGATAAAAAGTTAAGTATCGTCTGTAAGGCAGACTTGACTGGGCGGTCTGAGCTAAATTGGAGATTTTTTATGTTGGGTTTAAATAACGGAAGTTACCTATTACTATTTGAGTGCTGCGTAGCTGTGATGAAAATACACGCGCCAATGTCTATTGGAACTATGTACTCTGGATTTTTCTAGAGGCCGCCGGATTAGAGAAGACGAAAGAGCTAAGCTGCGGATCTATTTCGCTGTCGATATGTACGTGCTCTAACAACACCATTGGCAAAGATGAGCCGTGGCCCTGGATGCTCACCTTCGTCGTTTTTGGTTAAGCTACGTGCATCCATGAGCCTAGATTTATTTTATTCGTAGCAGGAACCGCTGGAAAAAATCACTCGCCTTCGAGGTCCAGGTGACTTGGACTTGGTTGCCTCGGCCGCTGGCGGCTGCCCGCAGCTGTTGTGAGAACCTGCTCACCTCGCTCTCAGCACGATAGCAACAACAACAATGGCCACAACACCACCACCAAGAAACCTGCACCTCTCCCGTTTTCTCACCTTTTCCATCTTCTCACCTCTTCTATCCTCTCACTTCTTCTATCCTCTCACCTCTTCCATCCTCTCACCTCTTCCATCCTCTCACCTCTGCCCCATTCTTCCCAATAATCCTCGCTTTCGCCTCCATCTAGCCTAAGCTCTTGGTTGCCCTTCCCATTGTGCTCCATCATGGAAGAAGCACGGGGCAGCTTCTCTAGCGTTCCTCGAGAGATACTCGACGACATCGTCTCTTACCTACCCAATAGAGACAAGAAAAGCCTCCGCCAGGCTTCTTCCTACTTTGCCGAGACCGTGAAGATCCGGATCTCACGCGTTTTTCTATCCGCCAACCCAAGAAACATCGAAGTCATTGAGGCCATCGCCTATCACGAGACCCGACGACGCCATGTTGAGCAGCTCATTTGGGATGACAGCTTTCTGGTGACTCCAGCTAACCTTGGGGAAATGCGGGTTAGCAGTGAATACAGCGGCTCGAATGGCATTCCCTACCGACCCCCAACACCTGCTCTTATCCAGAATCAACGGTCTCTGCTTCGGCAGAATCTCGGCAAGCTAGACGAGTTTCACCAACTGTATGCCGAAGCATGTGCCGTAAACATTCGCGACATCCGCGCCAGGCGAGGCAACGACTGCGAAACACCAGCTCACCTAGAGCGAGAGGAAAGAGCGAAGAACGAAATGCCCATTGTACACTCGGTTCGCTACTACAGAGAGCTATGTGATCAACAGGAGGAGATCATCAGCACCGGCGGAGACATTCGCGCCTTTAGAATTGCTCTCGACCGATTCCCCAATCTCAGGAAAGTCACCATCACGCCTGCTTGCCACGGGTTTCTCTTTACTCCATTGTATGAGACTCCGATGATTCGTGATTTCCCCAAAGGCTTCAATTATCCCATCCCACGATCATGGCCATCGTACGTGGGGAAGGCCGGCTATCTCAACGCAAACCGTTGGCCTGGCTTTCATGAGGCCTCAAAGATCACATGGAATGGCGTCCGCGTCGCTCTCAAGGACCTGGCCACGCGGGATAACCGAGTAACCGAGCTTGAAATCAACGTTCACGGACTTGACCATGGTGTGCCTGTCGACATTTTCCACCCCAGAAACGAGGAGTTGGGGTATTTCAACACAGTCGCCAAGAAACTAAGACACCTGGATCTGTCCATCGAAGTCCCACCTTCGAGAACTGGCAATCCTCTCGGGCAAACAAGCCAAACCATCCGCCAGGCTCTTGGCCGCAATCCTGATCTGAATCATTTCAGCTTGCACTGCAACCGCCAAGGCTATGATGGGCGTTTCCCACCTCTCCGCACACTTTTCCCCATCGATAATTGGAAGTGGCTTCAGCACTTCGGACTGACAGGCTTCAAGGTGGATATCGAGGACTTGGTCGACTTCCTGTCTTCCATGCCGACCACTCTGAGCTCTCTAGAGCTTGGCTTCCTTCGTTTCCAGACGGGAGGGGGAGGGGATACTTATCACGAGCTGATGGAGGCCATGCGAACCAAGCTCGGATGGAGAACTAGATCGGAATACGACAGACCTAAGATTGTCATCCGGATAGAGCTGATGGAGCCAGTGCCTGGTCGGTACATTACGGCCGACAAGGAGGTCGAGAATTTCATGTACGGTGATGGCCCCAACCCCTTCTCCTACGACTTGGAGCCAGAGGAGGTGGCTTTTTTCCGCAACGAGCTGTACGAGAGCGGGATGACGCATGACGAGTTTGACCCGGCATACGAGCGGCCTAATGTGGCCGATGAGGAACTTGTCGCCTTGGGCATCATCAAGGATGCTCGCCATATCGAAGATTTACCCTACGATGTCGACGACGAGTCTGAGGACGGCGAGCTGGAGGACGATCAGGATTACTATGATGACGACAGCCAGGGCGGCTCCAGTGAGGAAGCCGATGAATACGAATGGTCTGATTCTGCCTCTGAGTAATGAATTACGATGGCCAAGTAAAGGGTGGGCAATATCAGGCGCTGGGGAATTAGTGAAATCAAAATACTGGGGTTGTTCATTCATGTGCGAGTGCCCAGAGAGTTGGCCGTTTTGTTCCGCACAAGTCTCTAGCTTAACAAGCTGTCACTAGCTATGTGTTCACTTTGCTCACAATCAAAATAGATTCGCACCTGACCGGATGGTGTACGTTCTCACTCACGCTTGTCTCCTCACTCCCTCCCCATCACTCCCCTACCTTGACAACAATCTTCCCCTTGGCATGGCCCCCGCGTAAGTACCGATACGCATGTGGAACTTGCTCAAATTCAAACGTCTTATCAATCACGGCCTTGACCCTTCCCTGAGCCATCATCTCTCCTATCGGCTGAAGGTACTCTGTCGAGTTCCGCATTCGAATGAACAGGAATCGCGGACCACCCAAAATTGAGGGCCACAGATGTCTTTTCGCCGTAACGACGATCGTCCTGATGGTCAGGCTAGACCCGACGCCGACTTGGGTAAACGTGCCGTTGGCCTTGAGGGCTTTGCTGCTAACGGTGAATAGGCGCGTATCTGATCCCACATTGTCGACGATGAGATCATATTCGCAGCTCTTTTGCTCGAGGTAGGAGGCGAGGTCCACCGAGTGGTAGTCAACAATCTCGTCGGCTCCAAGCGAGCGACACAGAGAGGCATTGTGGGGAGAGCAAGTAGCGGTGACATGAGCTCCCATAGCCTTAGCCAACTGGATGGTCCAAGTCCCCACGCCGCCGCTGCCACCGTGGATGAATACTCTGGCGCCGGCTGGCAGAGGTCTGCCGCCCGGCGTTAGCGACTGGTAAGCGGACGTGCCCGCGGTGCCCACGGCAGCTCCCTGATCAGGGCTGACTCCCTCGGGCAGCACGGCCAGGCAGTCTGTGGACAAGATGGCGTACTGGCGCAGAGTTCCCATGCCGCGGGCGGTGGCGGAGGAGAACAGGCCGCCAAAGACGAGCTGGCCGTCGGCAAAGTCGGTGTTGGAGGGATGTCTGGCGACGACGCGGCCGCAGACATCGAAGCCTGGAGTGGCAGGCCGGGGAACGACGAGACAGCCGTAGATGGGGGCTTCAGGCACTTTATAGTCGACGGGGTTGATGGCGGCACTAATGACTTGGATGACAACCTTGTCGACGGGTAAGGAATCGACAGTAGGGAGGATGGCGGCTTGGTCGATGAGAGTCATGTCGTCTTCGAGCTTGTGCCGAATGGCCTTGTATTGCCATGCTTTACCTATGAAGGCCATGACGACGCTGGGGATGTGGTGTAAGCGGCACACCGGTATAATCAGGAGGTTCGTGTGGTTCGATGGTGCGGTTCAGTTTGACCACACCATACCCAAGAGACGAACGAACACCTATTATTCACTCACTCCCTTATGGTCCATCCATACGCGAATCGATGTCGAGGGCTGACTGCACCCCTGAGTGGAAATGCCGGTTGCATGTCGTCTTTCAGCAGGGTGAGCAATACATCGGCTCAACATTTAGCCCGACGGATTCATTGCATTGGCCGTTCGCGCCTCCGTTTTGAGCGAACGCATGCTTAGAAATTCCGACACTGGCCAAGAATCCGATTCTAGTGTTCCCTTGTTCGATGTCCGAGCAGCTGTATGCGTAAGGAAACAAGACTTTTTTACCACGTCGCCAAGATCTGAACTAATACACCCTCCATTCCACGCAAAGACTCGCAATATCGCCTGTGGTTAGAAAACTCGCCATCCAAGATGCGCAAAGAACTCGAGACAAAGCTCTGCACCGACTTTCCCGAGCTTTACGCAAACCTTCAATATAAGCAATTTGAATGTCTCGACGGCTGGTATGACATGATTTACCGCCTCTCCGCCAACCTTGCCAACATTATATCTAATCACGACGATATGAAACCAAATGTCTACACCGCATTTCAGGTAAAGGAAAAATGGGGGGCTCTTGTATTCTACATGTACAGTTATACCGATGAGATTCATGAGGCAATTGCAAAGGCTAGCGAGGAAAGTCTGCGTACATGTGAGACTTGCGGAGGTGAGGGCAAGCTGCTACAAGATTCGTGGTCTTGGCGGACGATATGTGACGGATGTGAGGTGGAAAGGGAGAGGCAATGGCTGAGGAGTAAAGCCGGGGATTTTGATGCTGTCCCATCCATGGGCGACATGGATTGACAGACCAAGGCAGGCAGACCTAGGCGCTTAACACTAATAAGTCTAAAAGCACAACAGTTTCAATGCGCATGGTTGCGCAGCATGAAGGTCAAACGATGTCATATAGCACATTTACAGCATCTCGCTGTCGGTACTGATCGATCTCATCTGCCTTATTAATGCAGTACAAGGTAGACTGCATACATGTTTCAAGTGTGCGTGCTGTCATAAATCTGTCGTCCAACTACTTCTCGAATCGCCCCTGCAACCGCCTTGGGCGCCTCCACCTGCGGGAAATGACCGACGCCCTCCAGCTCTACGACAGAAGCATCAGGAAGAACCTTCTTGGCCTGCTCAAGAACGTGTCTTCCCGAGACAGGATCATCGAGACCCCAAACTAGCTGTAACGGGCCCTTCCATCCGGAGAGGGCAGCCTCCCACCGCTTGTGGTGCACCCCTCTCTCGTTGTTATACCCAATGAGCAAGTGCGCCAACTTGTGCCCATCTCTTAAAGACATCCCATGCCATAGATTGGCAAACTCTTCGTCGTTAAGCTTTCCCCTCCCCATCACCCCGTTGAGACCAGCGCGCGCTTGCGCCGCAGTGATGCGCCCTGACACAAACTTACCCACCACAGGCATGTTGAGCACCCTCTGTAGTAGCGTCGGCCGATAAGCACTGTAGACTATCCCGCAGTTCAATACCGTTATACCTGAGATCTCGAAGCGCAGCTTGCCGTTGAGATGGCGGTCGATGAGCTCCTGGCCAACAATACAGCCGTAATCGTGCATCACGAGGTACACCGATGGTCGGGATAGGTGGTCAAGAAGGTCCTCAACGCTGTCGGCAGACTCATCGACGGAGTATTGGTAAGGGTTGGGCTTGTCGGAAGCACCGTAGCCGAGGAAATCTAGCGTTATCACTTCGTGGTCACGGACCAGGTCTGTCGCGACGGAGGCGTAGTCGTATGACCAGGTCGGGAAGCCATGAAGCAGAAGGACGGTTGGCCCGTTTCCCCGTCGGCGGTATGCTAGGCGGTGATTATGTCGGCTCACGAGGGTCTCGCACTCTGCTACCCAGTCCTGGGCTGATATCATGGTGTTCACTTTCCTAGCTGTGATTGGACTCGGGTTGGGGCGTTATTTTGAGTAGTGCAATAACTTGGAAAGTATTGCAGATATAAGAAAATAAACACAGTACGTACATTCGATGATGTTCAAGTAATGTAGGGCCCAGCTGCGAACCCTGGCGTGAGCTTATTTGCCAGCTGATCAAGTGAGAGGAGGCCGAGTGGTTTAGAGAGGAGCTCTGGGACGGGGCCGGAGGAACAGCATGCCGAGCACGGCGTTGCCCACACCGAGCACCGACACTGCCGTCACACGGGGATAATAAGTATTGTCTTAGCTGGGTCCCTCCCGTCCAAAGGGGGCATTACCATCAGGTTGAATTGGTCTAAAAATCGTCCTGAAACTGCCAACGTATCTCCTTAGTTTTCTCAGGATTTCTTTCTCATGTTTAGCTTACGTACATGTATGGATGTCCCTACAGTACACGCCGTATCTATCTATATAAATGATGCATGATTACTCTCCACGGAAATACCCCATACACAATCGAAACTCATTCTCTTTTCACTAGGTAGGATGGAACGAGTTCAATCCCATCCTCTATCTCCAGAAATAGCCTTACCCCAGGGGTATCTAAGTAATCAGTAGGGCATAGTAACCCAACCAAGTTGCGACCACATCCGGATGAGAGAGAGTTTGAGTATAAAGTAAAAAAACAGCAACAGAAGCCAGGCCCGACGTCTCAACACAATGACTACAAAAGGCAAAAACAAGCTCTACTAGCCAGGGCTGCAGCAATGCAAAAGGAAAACTCTGTAAACCTTCATACCGATGACTCACTTGCTGTCGTTGCTACCACATACAATTCCACGCAGGACAGTATGGAGCCAGCCCCCTCTGACTTTGCGACGAGAACAACAAAATGAGCTGATGGATGATGTGCCAGAGATGAAGCGCGATGATGGGTCAGAGGTAAACACTGGTTTCCAGAGATGCACGAGCCAAGATTTTGGCACTTCACCGTATGAAACAAATTCCTTTATTGCGTTCAGTGAGCGCCAGAGCCTGTCCATAATGCCCAGAAGTGTATATAGTTTAGCGTCATCATGGGCAGGCTGCTGAATAGACTCCTCAAAGTTGGCTGTAGACAGAGTTCAGCCCCAACATTGATGTTCGGTGTGCCATAGTTCGACAAAGTCCGAAGAAGAAGCAGAATTTAAGGCTTCAGGGGCGTATAACTAACCTTTTTTTGTCACATTAGTCAAGTCTTACTACAGAGCCTTGATGCAGGGCGAATGGAAGCTCTGTTTGCTCGGTCATGTGGTATCCGCCTCTTTATGTCTCACAGAAGCAAGAGATTCTTTATGTAAGGCCACAACAAGACTCACCTTTGGGATTCTACTTCTTCTCCCCCCACATAGTATCCTAGATACAATTGCAGCCAGGGTTTTTTTTTTTCAGAGCAATGATGAAGTTAATAGTCCTGCTAGGCAGGGCGATGTACTGAGCTCCAAGAATCCCAACCTCTTATCCACGGCAACAAGAACGAATGAAGTCGACGGTTCCGCTAGGCGGACAAACGCACCGAGTTCTTTTTCCACGGATAGCCCTGTGGTCTCTTTCAAAATTTCAATCCCCTGCGAGCAGCGGTGAAGTGCCGATATCCTTTATCTCTATCCCTAGGGACTGAAAGAAGGTGTGAAGCAATGCCACCTACCAGCACCAAAGCCACAGTCACCTGCTTTTCCTCGTTATAACTAAAGACACTTATCCATATCGGCCAAAGTAAACTCTTTCATAGCATGCAATGGTTAGTACTTCGATTGCTAGACTTAGATCTTCGGTTTGTTGCTAACGGCGTAAGACCTATCGCCATGAATCGTGATGAGGACGTTCTTGTTTAGGATACGCATACCTGGGACTCGCTTAAGGGATGTCTAGTGATGGCTCTCACTTTTTCTGTTGCCAACTTTTATTATGAAACTCGTAGCTTTCCTGAGATTTCCTCTGCCAAGTTCATGAGTGGTCGAGGTAACCCCGAGGGCTCGCCCAAGTAACTCTGCGACACCTGTTCCGTGCCAGGCGGCGCAACCGACTCAACAGCATGGACTTTTCATTCAAATCTTAAGACTTATTCTAAAAGGAACTAGGCAAACTGATTCTGGTAGCTTTTAGCGAGAGTTTTATGTTTGAAGGGGCTGGACATGACTACACCCATTTTTTTTTTTATAAGCCTCTGGTGTGTTGATTTTGGTCTGTTGAAGGGCCGTATTTGCAAAAGTTAATTACTGCCATCATCAAAGGAGTCAAAGTGCATATATTCTTCAACAGACCCGTCCAGACGAGTAAAAGAGAGAGACCCAAGATTAACTGCAAGTTAAGCAAGTCGTTTTCGTTGGGGTAGACCATTGCAGTTTAGTCCCTCGTAGATTCATGTCCAGGGGGACTGACTCCTTGTCGGTGGTTATCACAAACTTTCCAATTTTCTTGATGAATATCTTGCTAGATCTTTCACATATAGCTCAGAGATAGAAGAAAGCATACAACAAGGCCCCAAAGTATGGGCAGCAATTCAGCAGTTGAAATATATATCAATATTGACAATGTGGCATGTTCGCCCAAAGGATACCTTGTTTATGACGCTGTTGGTTCTAAGCGGTATCATGTCAGCCTACAAACTTGTTGAATGTTTGAAAACTGGTCCCCTACTTCTCTACCTGTCGCTGACGCAGTCATCCCTGATAGTGAAACATTGTATGAGTGTCTCTTATTCCAAGACTCCTATTAGTGTTGGGAAAATTCACATCCTTGTTCCTTTGTTAGTTTTTGAATATGTATCGAGAATCACTTTCAAGTTTACTCGTACAACGCTTCAAAAGAAAACCTTATAAAAGCAGTTGCCCATCCCTCTTCAGCCATGCCATATCTTTTGAATCCCATACCACCACGACAACTGTCTGAGCTGCGAGGACCAATCACATTTTCCAAACACAACCATCTACGATCGAAACAAAATGTCCCAGAATTCGCCGGATTCGGATGTCCAGGTCCCGGATTGGCCTCACACGAGAGAGTGGCTCCACCAGGTGCTCGAAAATCTCTGGGGGGGAAAGGAATACCTGCCAGAAAAGCTTCGTGAGCAAGAAGATAGCATCCCGGCCGTTGCCCTCGGGGCTCTGGCCAACCTCTACATCCTTGCTTTAACCCATAACATGAGATGTGAGTCTCTATGGGAAGAAGGCGGGCTTCTTCGAAAAAAATGGATGGAAAACGGGGAGGTGCTGACGGAGCAGGTGTGCTCGAGAACGCAAATGGAACTTGAACCCGTTTTTGGGGTCGATCCTCATCAAGAAGAAAAGCCTGCTACGTGCAACGTCACTAGATTCCAAGAGCTCGGCGGCGTCAAAAGAAACTTCATGACAAAGCTACTCTCGAAATACCTTGCCGTGGTCGAAGAAAAGTTCGACGAGGTAGTCAGAGAAGTAGCGCACCTACGTCAGACTGGAGAAGAAGAGAGGCTTCGAGCAGTGCTAGAGGATAAGGTAGTCGTCAACCACATACTCCGGCTACCAATTGCGGGATTTGTCAGATACTACCAGAAGAGCGAAGGCGATTGCATTATGGGCATGGGGTGCTCGTTCATCAATCCCAATAACTGGGACGTCTAGGAGGACTTGCAAATCAGGTAGCCTTAGTTGACATCTTCTCTTTGTTTTTCCTAGATAGGTATCCAGGGCCGAGGCCAACGTTCCATGCCTTTGTGCAGAGCGCTCTCCTTTTGAAAGTGACCTTTGTGTGAACATGATGCCAATAGCTCCAAAAGCCACGGGCAGTTACTCTAGCCCTCGCGGTTATCGTGCTCAGATTCTGAAATCCACCAGATAAAGGACGGACAGCTTACACGTAACCAGGAGGGACTCGTGGGTGGACAAACCGGGTACTTGCCCCGGATTCTTCGTGCCGAATCGATGGTGGCGCAGCACATGGGCTGACGTACCAAGATCGAATCACAGTGGTGCCACTTCAACTCCCGTCATCCTCCTCGTCATCCATCCAAACATCACCGAACCCAACTCCAGCAGAGAAACGCGAAAACCGAGGCAGCGAGAACAAGACACGCGAAATCCCCAACTCAGAACCAAACACACCGAACTCCCTCCTCCCCGATACGATGCAGCACAAATACGGCGACAAGGGCCCTGCCCACTGCGGCTCAGTCGCCGTGTCCATTGTTGGCATCGTATTTGGCAGCGCCATTGTCATCGTCGTCTGCTCCTTCATCTACTGCCTGATCAGGAGGAAGCTCAACCTGCGCGACAAGTATGCCCGCTGCAACGGAAACTGCGAATGCGAAGGCGCTTCCCGACCGCCCCCCACCCGAGTTCCTCGCCCTTCTCCCCCCGCCCCCGAACAAAACGATGCTGTTGCCGGCCCGAGCGTTGACCCTCCGCCCTATCTGGGCGATCAGAACGAGGAGCGACATGGTTTGATGAGCCATAACGATTATAATAAGTCGACTTAGTGCCTGGGAATGCAGGGAGGGTTGTCTTGAGATGCAATGACTGCGAGCGTCCGTTGGCATTTCGTACACACGCACGTTTGAAGTGGCCCTGTGTTGAGCGGCGCACGCTATTCAGTAGAAATGTTCCAGGATTGAAAGACTGGCTGTGAAGTTGAGAGTTGCATGATGATTACGAGCTACAATTGTTTTTGTTTCCGCCGTTTGGATACACCATTCCGTGGCAGGGTTTCTGTGCCGGAGCTTTGTTCGGAGAAAGGGAATCTCTACGCTTTGACTCTCTAAGCTTCAGAGTGAGGGAACTTTGGGTAAAGTACTAAGCTGGGGGACAATGGTCTGATGAGCTGCCTTTCCCTTCGAATTACAAAATGAAAACGCGTTGTCAACTGCCAAGTGATCCTTTAAACCTGGGATTTTCCTACTCGCCTCTCAAGCTCATACTAAACCATCCACAGTAAGGGTACCAGACTTGGTGATCATATATTCATTAATTGCGACGTCCTTCCCTGCCTCCTTTCCATAGCCAGAGTACTTGATTCCGCCAAACGGAGTCTCTGCCGCAGAGGAGTTCCCTGATCACAGTGTCAGAATGTGCCGACAGTGCTGGCATACGAGAAGAGTGTCGATGGAGTTTCGATACATACCGCTATTGAGTCCGATCATGCCAGCCTCGAGGTTCTCATACAAACGCCAGAGACGATCAACGTTTTTCGTGAAAGCATAGCTCGCAAGGCCCATAGGGGTATCGTTAGCCATCTTGACTGCCTCTTCCTCGGTCTCAAATTTGTAAAAAGCAGAGATAGGTGCAAAGCATTCCTCGCATGAGATGAGCGTATTGGTGGGCATATCAGCCAGGATAGTTGGCTCGAAAAAATAGCCCTCTTCAAAACCTTTTGGAGCCAAGCGTTTCCCACCTGTGACGAGACGTGCCCCGTTGGAAACAGCGTCTTGGACCAAGCGTTCAGCCCGATCGATGCTCTCGAGCTTAGTGACGGGGCCAAGGGTAGTTCCCCCCACAGCACCGTGGCCAACGACGTACTTGGCCGTTTCCTCACGGAAGCGTTGGAGGAACTTATCATATATCCCGCTCTGGACGAGAAATCGATTGACGGTGATGCACGCTTGGCCAGCATGGCGGAATTTCAGGCCGACCAGCTCACGAAGCGCAGCCTCGATATCGGCATCGTCAAAGATGAGGCAGGGACAGTTCCCTCCAAGTTCAAGAACGACCTTTTTCAAGCCGCTGCTGCAGTGGCTCGCAATGAGCTTGCCAACGCGGGTAGATCCAGTAAACGTAACCTTCTTCACCAGCTCATGCCTGCACAAGGCCTCGCTCAGCGGCGGGGTGTTGGCAAGTCTCGTGGTCACCACATTCAGGACGCCGTCGGGGAATCCCGCCTCGCTCGCCAGCTTGGCAAGGGCTACCGCCGTCACCGGCGTCTCGGGCGATGGCTTGACCACCATTGTGCAGCCGGCCGCCAATGCTGCGGCCGCCTTGCGTAAGACCATGGCGACGGGGAAGTTCCACGGGACCAGCGCGACAGCAACGCCGATGGGCTGCTTGATGGTGAAGACGCGCCGGTTCGGGGCCGAGGGGACGAAGCATGTCCCCTAGATGCGCTCTGCCTCGCCGGCAAACCAGGCCACGAAGGTGGCGGCGTAGTCTAGTTCGGCGACAGCTTCGGCGTAGGGCTTGCCCGTCTCATGGACGAGGATCTTGGCCAGGTCTTCCTTGTTCTCTTTGATGAGGGCATCCCACTTGAGAAGCCATTGGGCCCTGACGCGAGGCGACGACTTCTTGAAGGTTTGGAATGCAGCATGGGCCGTCTCAACCACGGCGTTGACATCGGCTGCTGAATTGTCGGTTACTTTGGCCCATGGCTTATTGGAGCCCGGGTCTGCGGGCTGAGAATGAGCGGCTGTGCATAATAAATGCGGTTGAAAAATCACATCCAGGGGCCGTACCTAGAACATCAAAGGTTGCGCCTGACTGTGCGGACACTTCCTTGCCACCGACATACGAGTCAGTAATGAGCAGGGCAGAGCGGTTTAGCTAGCATTAGGCTGTGTGTTAGCGTGCTATTGCGCTGTAAATCGCAAACACTTATCTCACAGTGAATGGCAATGGATAAGCCATGACGGGAATGCGCTGTGGTCGAGGGTTGAGATACTGTTTTCTCTCTTTTCGATGGTAAAATGAAATCCGAGTGAAAATGTTTCACAAAAGAGGCCCAGAATCCCAAGAACGTCAATGACATGTAAGGTTATACACGGGCGGGGTGCTGGTGATCGACATCAAGGCTTCCCCGCTCATGATGCTAAAGGCGGGACAGAGGCGGGGAGGCCACTCAATAAAGTGGGCGATTCGTTTAGCATGTAACATTTCCAAGCCTCAGCAAACCGAAGAGACACGCCTCCTCAATTCGACACTTTCTTCCGAACCAAGTTTGTTTGCCTCCAAAGCTGATATCGACTATGGGACGCCTCGACGACAAGGTAGCTATTGTGACAGGTAGGGCACTCGCTTTCCTTTCCCCGCCGCGGATAGCTCTGCTGACCCGTGCCTATCGACCACAGGAGCTGCTTCTGGTTTTGGCCAGGGAATTGCTGAGCACTATGCCGAAGAGGGTGCCAAGGTCCTGCTTTGCGACATCAACAGCGAGGCTGGTGAGAAGCTCGCTGCGACTTCAGATGCATTCACATTTCAGGAAATGAACGTGACGAAGGCCGATGACTGGAAGGCAGCAATTGACAAGGCTGTCCAGCTCTGGGGCAAGGTCGACATCCTGGTAAACAATGCGGGGACCAGTTATACGAACAAGGTAGATCATCCCAGCACTTCTCCCACTCGAGGGCACTCGGTAACAGCCGGATGCAGAGCACTCATGAAGTGACCGAAGACGAGTTTGAGAAGGTCATGGCTGTCAACGTGAAGAGCGTCTTCCTGGGCAGCAACGCCTTCATCATCCAAGCCAAAAAGCAAGGAACCGGTGGCTGCATCGTCAACATCGCGTCTGTGGGTGCCCATCGTCCACGACCAGGTCTGGTCTGGTACAATGCATCCAAAGGCGCCATTGCCAATGTAAGTGCAGCCAGAATGATTATTGAAACCAATGTTTGAATGACGATCTAACTGAATATTAATTAGGCGACGATGGGGTTGGCTGCAGAATATGGACCAGATGGCATCCGAGTCAATTCCATCTGCCCATTAGCGACCATGACGGGTTTGCTTTCCACATTCATTGGCAAGGAGATCACACCAGATGTGCAAAAGGCACTTGGCACTGTGCCACTGGGGAGAATGGGCCAGATCCGCGACGTCACGAACGCAGCAGTATTTTTAGCTAGCCAAGAGGCTTCCTTCATCACAGGCGTCAACCTTGACGTGGATGGCGGCCGTGCCATTTGATCAACTGTATCCATCTACCGGTGCGTTCCTCCTTGAGAAGGAACAATCACGGGCTCGGCATAAAGAGGTAACGAGGTCGCATCAAGTCTCAGGGTCCTCATCCCAGACAACAACGAGGTACAATCTAGTCAGATATGAAGGCATAGGCAATTTATCTTCGGTAGAAAGGTCTCTTAATGGAAGTGAAGTCGTTTATGTCGGAAGTAGTTTGTTCAGCTCAAGACTGGATGTCGAGACATGCACTTGAGTGCGAACATAGTGTTTCAAGTTATTTTAAAGGAGCTACCATAAAGGCCGACTTACTTTTCCACCGTTTTTCTCTCTTTTAATTTCTTCCCCTTGTATGCATTAATATCATGTCGGAACGTACAAGACTCTCATATTAGCTAAGTTCACGGAGACTATCCCAATCAGGGGTCCGTAGACTTACAACATTTGGTCTCAGAGGTTGATGGGTGTTTTTTGCTTGATCTAGCTGAAATAGAATAGCCTGGGAAGAGTGTTGATTCAAGCTTGTGAAAATTCTGTGCCGGATAGCCGATTATGGTGTGCTGAATACTACTCTGCGTGACACCACTCTCTCTCGTTTGTTTCCGTGTTCAACACCCTCACTTGTTTATTTTGCTGCCTAAATTTCGGTGTGCCACCCTTGATTACCTGATTAATGCAAACCTGGGGAAGATTGTAACGATACAATTGGTTCCACAAGCCAACCTGATTTCTTTGTTCAAGAGAAGATGTTCCTAGCAAGGGCTCACTGCACATCCCCCGCTTCAATGGCATAATCCGGGGTTACAAATACATGCTTCAGGGCATCAATCCTTATTATCCATCGACGCTTTGGGCCATAGTTCCAAGGTCGAAAGCCAATTAGAATCCCCGGTCAGTCCATGCCGCAAACTTGGACGTGGCACATGGACACTGTTCTGCCAGAGTGACATGCACCTCTTACAGACAAGCTATGAAGAGCTCTTCCCAACACCAATGGGTGTCATCGTGGCGTAGCTCAGATGGCCTTGGGCTGTTGCATCGAGACAATTACCCCAGCGTCACATCACGCGACCCTCCTTCTCTCATGAGTTCTGGACAGACCATGGCAAGTATGGTCAGATATTGGTGATGCATGAGAGGTGCCATGTCTTTGACAATGCCGTTTTAATGCGTCCGGACAGGACAGCCAATGGCGATTCGTGATGCACCTAGGTACCTTACCTTGTGCTGCAAAAAGAATAGAGATATATATAGCTTGCTCCCCCCTAAGCGAGGGCTTGATTTACTATGCGGATGGAGGACAATCACAATATCAATTGATTATAACTTCATCGCGATAAGGCTTTCAGGCTACTTGTTGTGCATAACTGCGACTTTCACTATGTCCGACGACAAAATTGCTGCCAAGGACAGGTATATTGTTGAACATATTCCTCGATGGCCGTGTTCTTTAGGGCTAACAACTACCATCCATCCATGACAGTCAAGTCCCGGATCAGCCGATTAATCTTGAGGCTCGACGCGAAAGCGTCGCGACTTTAACACGCAACTTGGAAGGCGAAATTCGAAATCCCCTGCGCGACATTCCCAAGGAGGAATTGCTCAACAACGTCGCCACTTTCCACCAAAACAAAAATCTTCCCGAGGACATACTGCCCATATTGAAGAAAGGGGCGCTCGTCGCGCAAAACCCTACCGAGTTTGAAACCATCGAAGAACTTGAGGAGAGTGACAAGCAGCCTCTGAGAGAGGAGATCACCAAGAGATGGAAGCATCCTTGGGCCTTGTACTATACCATCATTCTTAACTCGATTGCAGCAGCCATTCAGGGATGGGACCAGGTACGCCTCTTGCTCTGTAACTATTCGACACTCTTACTTTGGGTCCTAACATCATCTCGCAGACCGGCTCCAATGGGGCCAACTTGACATTCCACGCCGCGCTCGGCATCCCCGACTCTGCTGGATCTGCCTGTGGGCCGGTGGCTAATGAAGGCGATTGTGCAAAGAACAGCTGGATCATTGGATTTGTGAACGCGATGCCATATATTACTATATTCCTCTTGTAAGCACGAATTTCTCAATGTTTCTCTGGCTTTGTATCGCTGACTTCATTGAGCATATCAGTGCTGGATGGATATCTGATCCCCTCAACGAGTGGCTCGGCCGTCGTGGAGTCATCTTCGTCGCCGCGATCTTTTCTCTGCTAGCACCCTTCGGCATGGGCGTCTCACAGACATGGGGTCAACTTGCAGCATGTCGGTACGTATCTAATACCCCGTTGATTGCAAACGAGAATGTGTCTAATGAGATATCGAACGTAGCATGCTCTTAGGTATCGGTATGGGGCTGAAAGAGGTCACTGTCCCGGTATTCTCAGCAGAAAACGCACCCACAATCATTCGAGGAGGTCTAGTTATGTCTTGGCAGGTCTGGACAGCTTTTGGTGAGTTGCGAGTGTTATAGCTTGAGTGATTGTCTAGACTCTAACTTTGTCTATAGGCATCTTTCTTGGGACATGCGCCAACCTCGCGGTCGGAAAGACTGGCGAAATCTCCTGGCGCCTGCAATTCGCATCCGCCTTTATTCCTGCTGTCCCCCTTGTCCTTGGAACTTGGTTCGCGCCCGAGAGCCCTCGATGGTACCTCAAAAAGGGGCGGCACACTGATGCCTGGAAGTCTCTGCTTCGCCTTCGGAACACACCACTTCAGGCTGCTAGGGACTTGTATTACATAAATGCATTATTGGAGCAAGAAGAAGTGCTTGTAAGCGAAGCCGGACTGAAAGTGACCAGCAACGTGTTTACTCGTTTTGTTGAGCTTTTCACCATTCCGCGGATTCGCCGTGCAACATGGGCTTCAGGTATCGTTATGATTGCCCAACAGATGTGCGGTAAGTTCTATGGGCTTGGTGAACATAATTCATCCTTTCTAATTCCTCTTGGGTCATTGGATGGGTCCCTAAAAGAAGAAAGCTAACAAGCATCAGGTATCAACATTATTTCCTTCTACAGCGCAACAATTTTCAAGCAGAGCGGCATTGACGATTATACCTCCCTCTTTGCTAGCTTCGGCTTCGGTTTGGTCAATTTTGTTTTCGCTTGGCCAGCCGTCTGGACGATTGATACTTTTGGGCGACGAACATTGCTTCTATTCACCTTCCCGAACATGTTTTGGAGTCTTCTTGGTCAGTGACAGCACTCTAGACAGAAAACTCCATAAGGCTTTTGTTACCTTACGCAATTTCTGCTAATCTTGTTCACTCTAGCTGCCGGACTTTGTTATTTGATTCAGCCTGATGTCGAAAATAGCACCGCTCGCATTGCTGCGGTCGCAACCTTCGTCTACATTTTCGCCGCATTTTACTCTCCAGGAGAAGGTCCAGTTCCCTTCATGTACTCTGCAGAAGTATTTCCTCTCTCGCACAGAGAGGTGGGAATGGCATGGGCCGTGGCAACCAACGTCAGTCTCTAAATCTCACTTGCCATAACGAAATCCTAACGTGCTGCACAGAACTTTTGGGCATCGGTCCTCTCCCTGACGTTCCCTCGCATGTTGATTGCCATGACAGCAACAGGAGCATTCTGTTTCTATGCCGGACTAAACTTGGTCGCCTTGGCTCTCATCTTCCTGTTTGTGCCTGAAACGAAACAGAAGACCCTTGAGGAGCTTGACTATGTCTTTGCTGTCCCTGACCGAACGCATGCACGGTATCAGCTGAGAACTGTGCTCCCGTGGTGGATTAGAAGATGGATTCTCTTCAAGAGAGGTGAAGTGTGTCCAGATCTGTACAGGGACGAAACGGTGCACTCGCGGCCGGATGCTGCTGCTGGTGTTGGTGAGAAATCCGGATGAGAGCTCCATGGAAACATTCAGAGTTTTTTTTAAACCGTGCTTGGAGATTCTTGATATGTAACTTAATTTCTTGGGGGTTGGGGGGGGGGGGGGGGGGGTTAAATGGACATGAGAGAGCATTAACCCTAACCCTAACCCTACGTATGAAGCTGGAGCAAACTGAGACTACGGGCGGCCTCTAGGTGATCTAGCATACCCCTCTTTAACCCAGCAATCTCAGATTTAGGAATGTTTAGGACAATGTTTGAGATATCATCTGAAGACCTATTTCCAGTGTTTAATTCTTGAAGGTGGCCCTGTAGTTTACCCTCTAACCAACCATTGTAACTTTTCGATATCTAAGTACTTGCATCTCTGCGTTCAATCAGATTGAGAATACATGATCACCCATTGCAAAATATTGGGCCAAGGAGTAGTTCACAGATAAGAAAACAAAGTAGATGATAATATGTTTCTTTCAAAAAATACGGCGGCATCCATTTGACAACTCTTGAAGGTTAACCACCTTAGCTGTTGTAAGAAATCGCGCCAATTGGTTGAGCAGAGCGATTTAAATGATTACCACTTCCATCTCCTTCCTGTCGCATTCAGAGAATTCAAAACCAAAATTCTCGCTGAATACGCCGACACGTGAATAGAACACACTCTCCGCATGTTTCTTTAGTACGAGGCCTCCTTGCGTTGATATCCAAGCCAGCACACCCTCCCCATCATCTTGCACGTCCAGGACATATTGATCACCAAGGTCGAATTCTGCGAAAATCCCCAACTCCTGTTGTAAACCATGGCTCCATACTGTCGTAGAAGTATGTTTAAAACGACAAGGCACAGCCAACGTACGTATCGTCAGTGTAGCGCTGATCACGGCGCTGAACTCGTCGCTCGGGATGGGGGTTCTGATTTCAACATCTATAATCTTCAAGTCGTGCAATAACGTAGTATTAGGAAACTCCACCGCGCGCCCAATAGATGCCCATGACCAAGAAGGCGCCACGTAAGTTTTGGGCCTGATGTCCCCGTTGTTCTGGCTCTGCTTAGCATCCGAAGGCTTCCACATAATGAGGGTTAAGCCTTCCTGCCACAGCCCGGCCATGTACTCTTTCTGTGGGATATGGCCCATCTTCCTCGCAATTGCCGAAATAGCCAGAAGCCTATCTTCTTGGAACCCTATCCCTCGACATGTATAATGCATTATCAAGCTCTCCCACATGCTGGTGAATACATCTGGGTCTTCAAGGGCAGCCCAATGCATTCCTTGAACTAACCGACTAGAAATGTGGTGTCGCGTAAAGATGCGGGAATCCCCAATCCACCCGTCAAACTCCGGGCTTGAATCTTCATTTCTATTCTGGATGCAGTGCCATCGGGTGTTGTGTGTGCCGAATTCGAGAACACGGGGTGATAGGATAGACTCTTGAAGACACCATGCTCTTTGATGGATTGGGTCCCAAAATCCTGGCTCCCTTCCCTTCCAAAATATAGCGCAACCTATCTTCCCATCTTGGCATAAGTAGGGTATTCGAAAACCCCTTTCACCTGGAATATATCGACTCTTGAGAAAACCCTCGTCCACGGCCTTTGCGCGGGCAGCGGAGATTGTGAGGGCTGCTTGTTCATAGATTTCGCCCATTCTCGAAATTTCTTCCATCTTGTCGTGGTCGGAGTCCTGGATAATACATAAAGCGTCGATCCAGATGTGCTCGAATCCGAGCTCAGTGGAGACATGGACTGCATCACGTATTGTGCTCGGAAGACTCAAGTACGGAATATCTGTCGACAGAGAAACTATGTTTTGTTGGAGTAGTTTCAGTTTCTGATCCCCGCCCCAGCAGTAGCTTAGCGCTGTGTAAGGTCTCTTCCTTGATGTGTCTGTTTCAATCAAGCGTAGCGTTGGAGTTGGGGTAAAGTTGGTAATCTCTATCAGTCGTCGAGGTATTGCTAATGTCTTGGAACCGTTTTGATTAGCCGGGAGTGTTTTTCGTAGATTTTGGCATTCTATATGAGATCCATCACAAGCATCTAACCAGTCTCGGTTCTTCTGCATTGAAGGTTTTGAAGCAGGGTCCCAGTTAGGTGGACGGTGAGTTATTTCAGAAGCAGCAGCATCCCTTAACCGGTTAGCAGGATAACGACAGTCTATTTACGGCGGACGGAACAGATATACCCTTCATCAGCGCAAATAATGACCTGCGCATTTGGAGTAGCTCCATCGATATGGTCCTTCAACTCATTCACCCAGTCAAGCACAAGCTGTTCCTCCTCGGTGCCCAGAAGATATGCCCGCAAAAAACTCCCAAAGCGTGTATCCGGACGGCGAAGAGTCACAAGCCACATGAAAAGCTCGCATCCGCGTCGAGCTTGTGATATTGCTTGCTCGTAGCTAATGTTGAAGACGTATGCTTGCCCTGCAGTGTAATAATTCTCGTTGATGTATTCGTACCATCCTTTTGTTGTGGATTCCACGGCATGATTTTTTAACGTGAAGATTAGTCTTGACTGGCAAGCCACACACGAATGAGGTTCCATGATTGTCATAGTTTCCCGCGGAGCTGAGGCACGATGGAGATTTCACTGGGTTTTCAGGGTAGGAATGAGAGGGGTAAGGAGGGGTATGAGCAGATGATCCGGGGTGTGGTGAAAGCTCGGCGGCGGTCAGCATGGCCAAGCCAAATCTGATCCGAAGGCTCACGGCGCTGTTGAGTATCAAAATAGTGAGCCATCTGTTATTCTCGCCTTCATTTGCGCCCACGTATTGGTTCATAACTCGATCATTAGCTTGATTTGCATTATCCTAATTCATCAAAATTGAGTCAGGATGAAGGGAGCAAGCATTGGCAAATTAATGGAGTAACTACCTGACCGTATCGTCGGCCCTGATCCTCCCAGCTTGAATACCCTCCATATGGTGGTCTCATTTATCTTGCATCAGCTACTTGAGTGAGTGAATATCGTCTTCAACAACCAGCCCATGGAGATTAAGAACACCATCTTCCTGTGTACAATTTGATCAATTCCAGGTGCCGGACGCAGTATCCGGTGATCTAACCCTTTGATTATTTCACGAAATTGCGATAGTTCATTACCGGGTGCGTTCACTCTACTCGAATTTTACCGTTGTTTGCCACTTCTAATCTTTCTCTCTCCGCCGGGATGAATCCACTGAGTTTAACAAATTAAAATTGACGAATCCCACAAGCTATAGGCAGCGGCGGGCTGAGAGAGAGCCAGGAGTTATGTGACGCTTCCCTGATGGGTGGCATAAAAATGTCATAAAGACTGGCATTTGCTACAAAGGCTTCAGTCGTTCGTGTCTTGCCAGCATGCGCCTACTTCCAAACCACTGTACTTTGTCTTAAAATTATTCTCATCACGTTTAAATTATGAGATATCTATGTTTAGTATAATAATATCCTTTGAATTCAAGAAGAGCAACTAATTGTCCATCATCATAATCACGAACATCTCATGACAATCACCTCGCATCGCGGTGTTACACGCAAATATTCATTGTGTTGAGATGTCGGGTCTGGCATCTTCATTGCTGTTTTTTACTTTGTATTCCAACTCTCTCATCCCTTTACACGCAAAAAACTCCATTCAACAAGCAGCAACTCAACACAACATACAACCACCAGAGAATGAATGCACACACATTATTGACCCAAATAAGCACTTCTCGTTAGTCGCCCTCATTATCATCATCACCCCCAGACCGCGAAGGCATCTCGTTCGTGCGATCTCTGCCGGCATCTGCCTCAGCGGCCGGTTGGACAGTAGGCTCGTGTTCTTCCTGAAGTCTCGGCATGTTGTCTGCTCTCTCATTTGCTATTTCGATAAATTCCTCACGATATGTTCGAGCAAGCTGTCTCAGGGCTCTGAGAGCATATATTCCGTCCGCAAAAGCCAATTCATCGTGTAGGACAAAGCCTCTCAGAAGGGTGATGTGATATCCTGGGTGGCCTTTGGTATGAATAGTCGGCGCTGCAACATGGTGTGCAAAGAGAGAAAGAATTCCTTCGATGTAGGTAGCACTGAATGTGTACGCATTCTCATCGTATTCCGGAGTTCCTTTACCAAAGTTCTGCAGAGCATGCATCATCCGTGAGCCGTAAGCCCCATCGAGTGTCACCTGTTTCTGAGCAACATTGATCGTCCCTTGTGGGCCCTCGGCTTGGAGGAAAAAGTTAGTTACAAGCGGGCTCTCGGATTCTTCGCTCGGCGCAATAATTGTCTCCAAGTCATCTCTCACACTGTCCTCTACTGTTTCGGGCTGGACACCATCACACAAATCTGGCTGAGGTGCAGATAGCTCACCGTCGGTCATGGAATCCAAGTTGAGGAATGGGACGTTCTCCATGCTCTTGAATCCCCTGCCTCCCAATAGCATCGTGACCAAATGTCCCATCACATAAGCCTGTGATGTAGCGTGAGCGGCGGCACTCTCAAAGTTTTTAAACTCCGCATCACCAACAAGGTGATCACCTGGCTTCGGCCTTAACATTTCTAATATCGAATCGATATTTTGAGGTCGGGGTGAATAGTTTCTCTTCGGGGTCGTGTGTGTTCGTGGGTAGATGTTGTATCTAATACATTTACGTAGAAAATCTGGTTTCGATGCACCGCTTGGGCGTCTCGGTGGTTTCTCCGGAATGCCCATTTCGCTAGTGGATTCTTCGTAATCAAGATAGTAAGAAGGTTCTCCGGTCTTGATGTAATACTGGAATATTAGCCTAGATTCTAGTCTAGAAAATCAGGGGGAAAAAAAGAGGAGTGGCTAGGTATAAATACTTACCCCTCGAAGGTCAGTGAGATCTGGCCCGCCCGCCCTTGCAAAGCGCAATAATTTTGACCTTTCTTGTTCAGTGACCGCGAACATATGTGCTAGTTCGTGAATGGTTTTTCCGACTGCGCAGTCATTCTTGTACTGTGAGTTCTCCTGTCCGAAAACTGACGCCATCAAATCGTCCTTAGGCATGTTGTAGTTATCATCAAAGGGGAGAGTTGGAGACCCAAGTTGAGCATTTCTTCCTCTTTTTGATACATTCTCGTTTTGATGGTCGCGTGTCTGAGTTTCCGTTTCCATGGTACCAATCGTGTCGAACTTGCTTCATCTGGGTTTGACATGTTACTTGGACCTCGGCGGATAGTTTGTCAATTTCGTGATCTGATTTGTGTGTTGGCGAAATGGGTGCTCGTTGTAGCAAACCACAGGATAGGGTGAGTCGGCTGCTGGAAATATTTCCAAGACGGGGTCGAATTTACAGCGCATCTGGATTTTTTGTTATTTCTTATGATCAGTGTTCCAGACTTCAAGAATAGACATGTGCTTTGTGTTATTCAAACCTTGCAAGTCATTGTCATTGTCGCAAAGGCAGCCTTTGTCAATATCCTGTTGGTCGAGCCAGAAACTAAGTTCTAAACGATGGAATCCGATGGCACCGAGAATTGACAGTTCACGATATGACATCGAGTAGTAGCAATGGTCAGAAAAGGTCAATGAGATTGCTTTGAGCCTTATTTTCTTCAGAACAGAAATGAGGCTATTGTTGTACTATTGGATGCTCGAAATCTTGTATCAAGGTAATTACAGGTACTCATCTCGTCGGCGCGAGATTCGAGAGGTACGTACCTAGTTTGCGCTATGCCGAATTCGCTCCCTTCTCACAGCCGTACTTTAGCCGACGTTACGTAATCGAAGTGGATGGCAGGATATTTCTGGAGCCACGATCGATCGACCGGGTCTGAACAAGGCTCCATCCATCCATCTCTTGCTCTTGCTCTTGGTAGCAGCGGGTCGCCTGCACATCTTTAATTGTCCGGCCATCTTCTCTAGGCATCATGACTCCCCAGCCGTTTCGCTTCACGGATCTCCCGAGCGAGCTCCGTAATCGCATCTACCACTTGCTGCTCGCCGCTCTGGAAGAGCCTGAGGACTTTTCCACGTCGCCGTTGGTGACTGTCCCGAAGACCATCACCAGGGCCAAGCACCATGTGCAGACATCGATCCTCGCCGTGAGCCGCCAAATCCACGCCGAGGCAAAAGATGTCCTCCATAGAGAAAACAAATTCGTCAAATTTGGAGCCACCCTGGCCATGCCGAATGTTCGCGTGCTGAAGTCTCTCATCAAAAGTAAACGCGTCCCGGTCTTTACTACAGATAGAACGGTCATGGACAGATTCAATGGCCACGTCATATCCTACGCTCTTTTGGAACGGCCTACAGATCTTCCCAAATCCTCCTTCTACTGTTTGATCTCTCACCGCCACCTGGATCTTTTCTGTCGCGGTCTCGCCAATGCGGAGATCGCAACACCAGGGTTCTGGACCAACATCACCCACACCATCACTCTGTGCGCTCCTTACCAAATATCTCCCTCTGCTGCAACAAGCCACCAAGGAAATCTTGTCGCGCCGTTTTGTAGACACCTTCGTGGGCTTCATGCCGTTCTCGTCCGGGGCGAGATCGACCACTCTCTTGCCACAATCGTGGCTGAGCGGCTCAAAGCCCTGGTATCCGAGGACCCTCAGATAATTCTCGAAAATCTCGCGGCTCTCAAGGAGGCTGGGAATGATTTCTTCAGGCAAGGAGATTCTCGAATGTGCAGTGAGTCCTGGGCCAGGGCATGCATGGAAATCAGGCGTGTCCGCGGTGGAGCCATGTGGAAGACCCTCACTTCCGATCCGGCGTTTGCCAGGGATCTGACGGAGCTCTATTTCATCTTGAACCTGAATCTATCTCAAAACACAATCAAAAATATGGAAGGACACTCGAACCACCCGGATCTTGTCGCGGAACTGGCAAACTCGGCGCTAATCGCACTGGAGAACGCCTTTGAGGGACTATCTGATTGTCATAGTTATTGGCAGCCCAGCGATGCTCAAATGGCAAAGCTCTGGTATAGGAAGTCAAAAACCCATAGGCTCTGCAGTGATTATGGTGACGCTCTGCAGGCTATCACTTTTGCAGAAAACCTATTGCCTGACGATGCCATGATCCAGCAAGAGAGGAGGACTATTAAGTCCAGGATGCCCTAAGCGGCAACCAGATAGCTCGGAGCTTCGATCAATACCTTTTCAATTGCTTCAAATGGGCTCAGTTGCTCAGCTCCATCTGAAGCTTCTACAAAATGTGTCCGATCTTTATCTGCACCACGGGAGCGTATGCGTCAAAATTGGATTGAGATGGACCTTGAAATGTAATGACGAAACACGTTGGGATGGGGAAAAAAAGAAAAAACGAGTACCTGGGAACGGCGTTGGATAAATTGTACGGCGGAGCTAATATGACAACTTTATGAAACAGGGCAGATTTTGTATGGCAAGCTCATTGGAGAAGGCACACACAAAAGTATTGACAGGATCATCTGACATAGTACCTAATTTGATTGATATTTACACCGGGAATATGAAAAAACAAAGATGCCAAGTTCAATGATAACAACTAGCTATGTACAAATCAAAAGCGAGTGTGAATGTTGACAATGAAATAACTCTCAGTATCCATCCATGCTCAGGGCCAGCCGGAGCCTATTCAACGACAAACTCTCGCTCCTTGGGACTGTTGTCGCCTACTCGCCTTATTCTAGGCTTTGAAGCCCTTGACAAAAGTTGTACCACAGCTCCCAACAGGGCTCGCAGTTTTGCTGGATGCGTAGGTCACATCAGGACCAGGGTTGGGGAAAACAACATCATATGTCTCAAGAGTGCTGCAGCCGTTGCCAACGTTAGCCACGAACATGTTGGGGCGGCTGGCATAAGGGTCAGTGGGTGCACGCTTCTCGACTTGGGCTTCCTCTTCCTCTCCATCAGCACCAATCTCTCTGGTGCCGGTAGACTTGGCGCTGCTGATGGTAACATGAGCGCAGTTCATGTACATCTCGCGGTTGCCGAGGTTGTTCCACCACGACCAGGCAAAGAGAGCGCTGCCGGCTGGGGTGTCGTTGGGCAAAGTGAATGACCAACTGGTCTGTAGTGGGCAATTTCCGATGTAGGAATGAATGACTTTAAAGGTGCTACCCTTGTCATACGACAGTGACACCTGGCAGCTGCCTCCGTTGTGAGTAGCTGAGCCAGCCACGGTCATGGTATAGGTTGAACCAGGCTTCCAGGTAGCAACGGACTGGCCCTGGGATGTGCCGAGAAGTGAGTGGTATCCCTTGCAGGGGAAGTCGCTACCAGAGCCACTCAGCGGGTTTGTCATAGAGTAATCAATGTCTGTGGTGTAGGGGTTATAGCGAGAGCGGAAAGGAGGCGGGCTCATCACTTCCATGTGGGCATTGGCACCAAATGCCCAGAGGCCGAGAAGAGAAGCAGCGATGGAGAGCTTCATGATGATCCGGATATGCAATTTGTGGATATAGTTTGATTGACTGTGTTCAAGTCTAAAACTGAAGGCTTGTTTAATTTCTAAGTGAGACTTTGAGTTGGACAGAGCCCGAGGGTCCCTATTTATAATAACTCCGTCCCCAACGGATGAGACAGCAACCTTCCTCACATATGTATTGAATTCCTAGCTCCGCAACTGAACATGTGATGGTAGCATGAAAAACGGTCACATTATTGCTTGAAAAACTCCATACTGCGGTAATTCTTATCATTTATTTCTAAGCAGTTTTTACCTCACTGTTGATATAATCCAGTTTCTCCATCTGGACTAGACGTACGACAATGCAACCACCTTGCGCCTTGTAGTCTGCTCTGCAGTTGACAGCGTCTCATTTTAATTTAAAAGATGGGGTCAATGGCGCTAAGATATCGAGAATGACTGGCTTACGCGGCTCCGGCTACTGTAGCGAGACGACTTTGGGGAAGCTGAGTGTAAGAGTCCGGACAGAGGAGGCAGGCATACGTTCCATCGTTGAACAGCTAAACAGAGTGTGGACGGAATCGAATGCCGACTAGTAAAAAAGGGTTATGGTGACTCCAGGCAAGCTACACCACATGCAGTCTTCCCAACCACTGTGTTTCACTATTTGTGGTGACCCGCCTGGCTGTGCTCTTGTGTGAAGAGTGGCTAGAACTCGGCCGACCATTCTTTCGATCTCGTTTGATATCCCTCGAATATGATTAACTCTTCCCATAGAAGGGTGGCGCAGATTTTTCATAAGAAAAGAACAAACTCTCTGTTCATGGAGTAATATACCTGCACTCTTTAGGATCTACTTATTCTGACAGGTGAGATGGGACGAAGTGACGCAGATCGAAAGAATTAAGCTGCCAAGAACTTCCACTTAACGTGCCCTCCTACGTTGAAATCCAGGGGAAGCAGGGATTCGGGGTTTAGCAGGCGACTAATTCTTTATGCCTTAGAATGTGTAGCCAATCATTTGCCCTGCAGTAATCATCCTCTTCCAGGGAGTAATCAACCTTGAAACCCTTCCACGCTGATCCGCAACTAGGTATAGAAGTGCGGCTACAGTTAATTCGGCCCCCTGTTGGTCATCTGGACGAGAATAAAAGTCCGGCTTTCCCAGTGTGGACACCGCCTTGGCTGGGGGTAACGTAACGTTTGGTCCTCAACACCTTGTCTACGGATGTAGTCTGTTCATCCATGAGTCTTTTTTATGATTTTTTAACCCTTCTTCCTAATCATTTGCAGTATTGAAACGACTGTTGGGGGGGCCAAAGATCCAATTAGTTTATCCGGCCTCTTGGCTGTTCAAGAATGTTGTGGGATCTCTATGGACTCCATCATGACAATGGATGAATAGGGAAGGTGGTCCTCTGCTTTTGCGGCATAATCGGTAGGAGACCTCTGTATCAGTATATTGGGGTTTTACAGGCCAGAAATTTGACAGGCTACGGCTACCTACCATGTGACTCATGTCTCAGGTCCATATGGCGATAACAATTTCAGAAGGTGACATCGACACACCTTCAAGTCTAGGCATTTCTAAACGCTCACATCCTTTGGGTCCCTTGCATTAGCCTTTTTGGGCCGCAGCGGAATTCCAAGAAGGAATTTAGGTAGACTTTACTTTAGTTAATTGGACTGAATAAGATTTGAGAATGCTCATTGAAAAGGGAGATGACCTGCTCTGACTGTACTGTTCCAAACTCCAAAACTCATGAGACTTCCTTCATCTGGTTCCTAAATGAGAGCAGTGCATTAACTATAACGCTCTATAGTACTTGGACTTCTTGTGCAAAAGTTGACTTTGTTCTTTTGGTTTAACGCCACACGCCCTTTTAATTCTATAGGAACGTTACATGCTCTATCCAACATCTTGGGCTCATACCTCATGTGCTCACACTCGAGTCTGAGGGCACTTACGTTGAGATATGGTCTAGAAACATATGAAAAAATTCTTGGAACTTAAGGACTGTACATGTGACTACCGCAGGGAGTTTGTTTTGCCAAGCCAAATCTGAAATCATCGAAGCACCCGGTGATAAGAGCGTTGGACTCAGTGTAAGAGAAGTGGGTGGGTGAAAGGAAGATATGAAGCGTAACGTGTTGCCACCGATTATTGGCGCACCCAGAATCATTTTTCACCTGTCCCTTCCAACTGCCAAGGACTGGAACGGGCTACAGCCAACTTCAATAAATCAAGCTAAGTTTGCTTCGGGAGGAGGCTACCAGCCCGAACGGTAGTACATCCTCCCGAAAACCAAGTTTCGGGCCAAATGATAAATTCAACCCCCTTTTAATCCCAGTAGGGAAAATTTTGTGTGTCGAAGGAGCCTCTATTTGCGACTGCTCGCACTAGTCGCACACAGAAATATTCTAAAAGCCAAAGCAAGAAGCTATACTCAACCCGCAACCGCCAGTAATATAGCATATAGACTACAGTCAACTCTTATAGCACAAAGTTAGTGTTGTCTGTTACCATGTGGGCTAATCAGGGAATATGATTTCGAGATAGTCATGAGGTCGTCGTCCACGCTAAGGCTGCAAAGACCATTGGGAAGGTCTCATCGCTTCTTGATCTCAGAGTCCAACCACCTATGCAACGGCATCTGGTCAAAAACCCCAAAAGTGTAACGTTTTACCACATCAGAACTTCCTCAGCACCTTCCAAGGACAGCACGGCTAGTGGTTCCCGTCGCTGTGATCGCTTGTCCCCACTGGGCTCAACGCCACATGATCACACCATCAGAGTATATTGGTGTTCAAACATGTACAGTCTAGTTTGCCATACAACCTATGTTCTCTATTATGGCATAGTTTGGTATAAGTCCATCCTAAACTCTCCCTCTCTCTGCAATTTTGTCCTGGATACAAAAAAAAAGGAAACTGAAAGTGCTGGGGAGTAGTCCCTCCCCGGCCATCAGGTATGGAGTCGCCCATTGGCGCACAAGGTTTACTTTTCTTGTCACTTCATATTCATTCAATAAATTCCGAAGACAAGATTATCCTCTGTACATCAATCCCGTGCAATTTTAGGCCTTATAAAACCTGGAATTCAACAGCCAACAAGCTTTGTCAGCTCGTTGAGGAATCCATCAATTTTTAAGAGATGTAGCGTCACTGAAATGCACTCCAGGAGTATTCCAGCACCAAGCATTTAGAATAATTCATAAGATTATCCTTGTATATAAATCAGCCAGCGATCCCAGCTCGTGAAGGTACATAGTCAGCCAAACGCCGTGTTACTTTAATAAATCAAGGAACCAGAACCCGGACAATTATCGCCCTCTGTGATATTTTATTGTGATCTCAAGAACTCACAAGTCTATATATATTTGTGTTGGAGTGAGGTCTGAAATTCAAGACAAGGCGAACGAAAACATTTTCCTCGCCGTCATTCAACTCACTTGGTGAACATGACACAGCATCACATTAATGGTCACGGCATCTACCTTAGATTGAACCAACAAGAGTACGGAGCAATGCTAACATGACAATTGGAACAACTTGCTTCATGAATGTTGTCTTCATTTCTTTAACAAACTGATACATTTCCCTAGACTGAAACTTGATATTTTTTAAAATTACAAACTGTTGAATTCGTCAGCGTCTGAGGAAGCCCGAGCATAGTTCTGAGGAGCTCAATCTAAACTATCCATGTGTGCTGCTCATCTTTCTAAGTTTC